CGGCCTACCCGGTCTCACTGTAGAGCCGAGAGCACCCCGTCCCTGTGCCTCCAGCCTCGCCCAGCAAGGACGACGGGGTGGCGGGGAAGGTGCTCTCTTACCATCAGGCCTCTGTAGTTTTAGTCTCATGTCCTTAATCAGCTAGTTCTCCCACAAGCCGACAACACCTGAGAGGGTAGGACCCTGTCTGAGGTGCTCGTTCTTACGCTACTGGGCACAGTTGTTCCATAAACGTCACCGGGCCCCAGCCCTGCCCCAAGTATCGCTCTGGGGACTGGGGTTGGGTTCAGTCATGAATGAAGACGAAGTCCTGCTCTCAGGGGCAGTTCGCAAACAGTTGCTTGGAACATGCTGGGGGCGGGTGTGTGCTCTAGGGGAAAACAGAACCCTGGGAAGGACAGAATAGGTGATGAGGTGAGAAAGTGCTATTTTTTTTTCAATTTTTAATGTTTTATTTATTTTTTGAGGCGGGGGGTGGGGGGATAGAGAGAGAGGGAGACACAGAATCTGAAGCAGGCTCCAGGCTTTGAGCTGTCAGCACAAAGCCCAATGCAGGGCTTGAACTCATAAACCGTGAGATCATGACCTGAGCTGAAGTCGGATGCTTAACTGACTGAGCCACCCAGGTGCCCCAGAAAGTGCTCTTTTAAAAAAAAAAAAAAAATTAAAATTTTATCTATCTATCTATCTATCTATCTATCTATCTATCATCTTTGAGAAGACAAGGAACAGCTCAGTGGCGGGAGAGAGAGGAGAGAGAGAGAATCCCAAGCAGGCTCCACGATGCCAGCTCAGAGCCAGACGTGGGGCTCGAACCCATGAACTGTGGGATCATGACCTGAGCCGATACCAACAGTCGGATACTCAACCGTCTGAGCCCCCCGGGGCCTCAGGAAAGTGGTCTTTTAGACAGATGGTCAGCAAAAGCCTCTCCTGCCCCCAAGCCTCCCCTGACCTCCAGACCCCTACATCCACCTCCACGTGGACATCCGGCAAACTCTGTCTTTTCCTCATTTTACCCCAAACCCATTCTTTCTGCCATCTTCCTCTCTCTGTAAATGCTTCATTTTTTTCCTGCTCAAAGTTAAAAAAGCTGACATCGTCCTTCCTGCTTTCAAAACTCCTGGTCAGTCCAGCCATAAACCCCATTGTCTCTACCCTCCAGATGCCCCAAGTCCCACTTTCTTTCCACCTCTTCCACTACTTGGTCCCAGTACCCCCCCCCCCCCACCCACTTGGATATTGTCTTCACCTGGTTCTCTGTTCTGTTCTTGCACCTTCCAGAGTCAATTCCTTAGTACAGCAGCCTGCACCCTTAAGTCTGAGCACACCCTCCCCTGGCCCTCATTTCACTCAGACTGAAAGTGTAGGGGCCCCGAGGCACCTCCCTTCTCCTCTCATTTCCCATCTGCCCTCCCTGCTCACTCTGTCAGCCACTCTGGCCTCCTTGCTGGTCCTAAAACATACCGAACACACTCTTGCATTAAGAGCACTTTTCTCAGGGGTCTCGCATTTGCTCCAGGCTCAAAGATGGTCTTGCTGGAGAGGCCTTCCCATGATGATAAAATAGCAACCCTCCCTCTCATCCCTGAGGCGTCCCATCCAGCTTATTCTTTATCTTTGTAGCACCCCCACCCCTGGCCATACTGTATATCCATCATGTCTATTTCATTTTCTCCTTTTCCCTTTCACCCCCAACTGGAGTATAAACTCTGGGGAGGTATTAAGCATTCTCTTCTTGTTCCCGTTTTGCAAATAAAGAAACTGAAGTTTAGGGAGATGGAGGAAATTGCCCAAGAGGGTAGGAAAGGGACAGATAGAGAGACTGGTACCCACACTTGTCTGACCCCAAAGGCCATGGGCTTTTTGTTTGTTTAAAGTTTATTTGGTTATTTTGAGAAAGAGAACAAGCAGAGGAGGAGCAGAGAGAGAGGGAGAGAGACAGAATCCTAAGGAGGCTCCACGTTGTCAGTGGGGCTCGAACTCATGAACTATAAGATCCTGACCTGAGCTGAAACCAAGAGACAGACGCTTAACCGACTGAGCCACCTGGGCGCCCCCAAGACCACGGTCTTTATGGTTACAACTCTCCTGCCTTTCTGCCACAAGCTTATTGAAGACATGGTTGGGGAGCTTTCCTCGGGTGGGCACCAGAGCCTGGGAGTGCTCAGGTGGTCACGAGGCTTTCAGGGGTCAGTAAGCAGTCACCCAGGTGGGGAGATGGGAGAAAAGGAGAAACAACTGGAAGGGGCCAGAGTGCATAGGGTCTTGGAACCCAGAACAAAGAAAGAGTGTGGATTTTATGCGATGCTTATCACGGATTTCTGAGTGGGAAAGTGATATACAGAAGGTTTTTTTTTTAAATGTGTATTTATTTTGAGGGAGAGAGAGTGTGTGAGCAGAGGAAGGGCAGAGAGAGAAGGAGAGAGAGAGAATCCTAAGCAGGCTCTGCACTGTCAGCACAGAGCCCGACACGGGGCTTGAACCCACGAACCCAAGCACTGTGAGATCATGACCTGAGCCAGAATCAGGAGTTGGACACTTAACCAACTGAGCCTCCCAGGCAGCCCCTAGGGCCATACTTCTAACAAATGGCAAAGGTGTGCAACTTCCCAGGCACGGCTGCCTGCACCTTGCTCAGGGCACACCGTTTTCTGCCCACGTTTGTGGGTTTCCAAGCCGTCTGTCCGGAATCCTCTTCCAGCAGTGCTACCTCAAGGCTCCCACACACCCTTCAGCCTGAGCTCCTCCACTGCTCTGTCTCAGCCTAGACCACTTGCCGTGTTTCTCAGAGCTCTTTGTCTTCCCCTGTCTCTCATCTGTCTTTCGCCCTACTGTGCATCGGCATCATGGATGAAATCCATTCGGCTCTCTTGACCACATGGCTAGCTTTCTGCTGGTCTTGACCTCTCATTTCTGACTGATGCCTGGCCCCACAAGCTTCTTATCCACCAGGTGCTCCCACCTCAGTCCTAGGGGTGTTTTCTTTGCCCCTTGCGCACCAGTGCTGCGAAATTAGCAATAGTTGTAGCTCTATCCAGGGACATCCAGCTACCCGCTAGTCATGACCTCGTTGAGGCAGGCGGATCCTAGCTTTCTATTGTTCTATTGTTCTCCTCTTCTCCAAATCAGAAATCAAGGGTTTTGTTTATATTTCACTTTGGACCAATGCAAACTCCAAAAGTCTTTTCTCGCCTTGTAAAACCCCTTCGTCACTGTGTGTTTATCTATGTAATATACTAGTGCCTACTATTTGAATATTTATAACAGTACATACTATTTAAAATACTTCTACACCCTTTTTTGATTTCATCCTCACATCACTCCCATGGTGATCATAAATAGTATTTTCCTCATTTTAGGAATAAGAAAAGAATTGACTTTTTGGTAAGAGTCTTATTATTGGCCAACCCCTCTGACACTTTTTCCCTTGATTTAAAAATAACTATTTAAGGGGGACTTGAGTGGCTCAGTCGGTTATGCTTCTGACTCTTGATTTTGGTCAGGTCATGACCTCACAGTTCAGGGGACTGAGCCCATGTCAGGCTCTGCCATGACAGCCCCAAGCCTGCTTGGGATTCTCTCCCTGTCTCTCTGCCCCTCTCCCACTTGACCGTGTGTGCTCTCTTTCTCTCTCTCTTTCTCTCCCCAAATAAATACATAATCTTAAAAAAATAACTATTTAAATATTCAATAGTTGTGCTATGGACTGAATTGTGTCTCCACACAATTTATATGTTGAAGCCCTAACGCCCACTGTGACTATTTGGGGAGAGGGCCTCTGAGGAGGTAATAAAAGTTAGACGGAGTCACACAGTGGGACCCTGATATGATAGAATTGATGTCCTTACAAGCAGGGACACCCGAGTGAGCACACAGGGAGATGGCAGCCACCTATAAGGCAGGCAGAGAGGTCTCACTGGAAACCCACTGCTCTGTCACCTTGATCTTCAACTTCCAGCTTCCAGAATTATGAGAACATGGATGTCACTTGTTTGAACCACCCGGTCTATGGTATTTTGTTATGTTAGCCAGAGCTAAGACAAGTTGTAATCTTTCATAAAGAATACTTTTGAGCAGTCAGATAAAGAAGTAACTATATGGGGTAAAGTTTGGTTCTGTTTTACTAATTTGTAACAGTCCTATGATATCATCGCTCTTTGACGGGAACCACATTTTTCTTAAGGTTGGACTTGGGATGAGCTTGTTTCCAAAGCCTTCTGGTTTCCAATAGTTACTTTATGCCCCAGCCCTGCTGTAGGGAAATGGGGTGACAATTGTGTAATGATTGCTTAACAACTGAAAAGTGTAACACACCTTTTTCTCTTGTCTAATCCACTTTTCATGAAAAGCAACAAGTAAAGGGTGATCCTTTTTCCTACAATGAGTGGATAACTAATGATTGTCCATGATAGTGGAGGTTCTTGGAAGGGGGAATTCAAGCCACACTTTTTGGATTTGCACTTTTTGGATTTGGATGGCTTCCTAACCATTTCACCCTACCTTGAATTTCTACAAATTTGATCACCTGTAATATTTTTTAAAAATGTTTCTTTATTGATTTTGAGAGAGAGAGAAAGAAAGAGAGAAAATGCAGGGGACAGGTAGAGAGAGGGAGAGAGAGAATCCCAAGCAGCTTCCCTGCTATCAGCAGAGAGCCCGACGCGGGGCTCGATCTCATGAACCACAAGCGAGATCATGACCTGAGCTGAAATCAAGAGTCGGCGCTTAACCGACTGAGCCACCGAGGTGCCCTCACCTGTGCCATTTTTATTTCAAGTAACACTTCCAAACATATATGCTTAGAGAAGTACGTCCTGAAACTATGTGTCCTGTCTCCTAGACAGATGCTAACCTAGGAGAGTACCCACAGAGTTGGGGTGCAGTGGGGGAGGGGTGGTAGCCATGTATGAGAAACATTACCCATTAAAAATCCCATATTGCTCTGCTGATTACAATAGGCAATAAACACTGGCTGAACTGAACTCGGGGACACTTACTCCTGGGGCCTCGACGGGTGGTCATGCTCAGGGGGCGAGTGTCAGAATCTTCCTGCAGGGGCTCCGGCTGGTTGCCTAGGTGGGGATTTTCAGACACCATTTCCTCGGGGCCAGCGGCGGGCAGCTGTGGGCAGAGGGGCAGAGGTTGTTACCCCCAGGGCTTGGGTTGACACAGATCCTATCTGGGGATGATGTGGGTCACTCAGCGAGGGGACAGGCCTTAGTACTATTCATATCTAGATAACCGTGGTGCTGTCACCTGTCAGAAAAGGGGTGCCAACCTTGAGTTCGTCTAAGAGGATTCTCGTTAAATTACTGAGGCATCCCCAAATAAAATAAATACTTCCACTATTTCTATGAATAATGTGCAGACCTTTGCAGAAATTGGGTGGAAAGGGGGAGCAGGAAAGCCACGGCCAAAACTATGTGATCCCAACTCCAAATCTTTTGGAAACAGCTGCCAAAGTGTCCCCGGGGAATTCAGGGCAAAGGACAGCCTGTGGCTCCTTCCCCAGGCTGTCAGAGGACAGGCCGGTGAGCAGAGATGACAGTGGAGGCCAAGGATGAGCGATGGCCTTTGGGGCCAGACAAAGGCTTGCCTCTGAACTCAGATGAACTGAGGGACTCGGGGCAAGTTATTTAACTTCCTCGCTTCCTTCCTTCTTCATCTGTAGAACAAGGGAGTTGAAGACAGCGGGTGCACCGAGATGCTACTTTGTATCGGCCACAGGGCAAAGCACGGGCATTGTGATTCAAATAAACGGCCTGGGGTGGACCCCAGGCACCGACTGGAAAAAAAAAAATCTCCCAAATTCCATTCTGAGGTGCCGCTGGGGTTAAGCGACAGTACTCTGGATTTCTTCCAACACCCCCCAAACCTCTCCTGCTCCAAGGTCTGCAGTCTGGGCTCCTGCACGGGTTACATCCAGGATCCGGTGCCTAGGAGGGCAGTGCCAGGTACCATGCTCCCCCCTCCCCGTCCCTGCCTCTCTCTCCTGTGCCTGTGGCCCAGTAGCTAAGGACGTGTACCCGTCCCGGCGGTACTCTGGGTCGCCTGCCCTGGCTGCAGAGCCCCTGGGGGACCCTGCAGGAAGGGGTCAAAGCTCCCTGAGTGGCCAGAGAGGCTGGCCACGTGGCTGGCCGCCCCCCTCCTCCCCCCGGCTGCTCCATCCGAGCTGCGCAAGCAGAGGCCGCCCCTCGGCCCAGCTGGCCCCACCGGAGTGCGGTGGGGCAGAGAGAGGGGGCTTGTCCCCCGACTGCGGCTACCTCGGTGCCTTCCCCGCGTCCACATCTCCTCACGTCCCAGCCACCCTCTCCAGGCAGCCCCATCACGTGGGTGCTGGCTCAAAATGGCGCTCCCTTCCTTCCCTCCCCTGCTAGCATCTCGATGCTTCCAAGCAAGTTGCCCCTCCAAAGAGATCTTCCCTGCCTCTCCTCAGAGGACAGGGGCTCCTGGCCGGTGTGTGTGGGGGGTGGTTATTTACCTTGAGAAGGCTGGCCTTGCAGGGGGATGCTCTCAGCCGAGGAGGGTCACTTCTGAGGAGAGCTGGAGGGGGGGTGGGGGGGGGGCGGGCGCTCTGGTTTAGACCGAAGCTGAGCTCTGAGCCCGGGCTTGGAATTGGAGAAAGGGGGAGCGCCCCATGATTAGTAATCCTGCACTGCCATCTATCGCCGGCCTCAGTTCATGGCCTTTGAGGACAACAGTAAAAAGCCTCCGTCCCTCTTTTCTGGGTTTCTCTCAGGAGACGGGAGAAACCTCAGAGGGAAAATGCCCGGGGTACTGACCACAGCGTCCCTGTGAGGGTCACCCTTAAGGCCCCACACAGGTCCCACACCCTGCAACTTCCCCCTGCACCCTTGTCTTTTCCAGGGAGCCCCGGGGAGGATGTGTGGTCCCCTGAGGGTGCCCACACCTTGTCAGTTGGCAGGCCGATGCACAGGCAGACACAGGGTCCCCAGCACCACATACCGGTTTCTTCCTTTTCTGTCTTGCCATCTTTGAGGTCTTCTTCTGGCCTCCCACACCTGCATCCTCATCATTTTCATCGAACTCCTTTATAAAAATGTAAATGGAAGAGTGGTCACTGAGTCTGTGTGTCAGCTGGGGAATGGCGGTAAGAGAGGAAGAGGGGTGCATTTTACGTATTCAAATTAAAATCACCATCCTGCCCCCACCCCTAAAGTTGAGTATGGGCGAAGGGACAGTTGACATGGTCTAAGCAGCTACCAGCCTTTACTCTTCTCAAAGCAGACATGGTCTTGAAAAGTTGTATCCAAATGGAAACATCATAGATGAGATGATCTTGGAGCCTCCATCGTTCACCCCTACGACATCCGCCGTGCTTCTGGCCCTGGGGACACACAGATTCTTGCTGCCCTCAAAACTCACAATCTAATGAAAGCCCAAAACAAGGGACCCTGCCAGGACAGCTGGTCTGGCCAGAGAGAGTACCCCAGCACAGGATGACATGGGAATCAAACCAGGGGTTTCAAGGGCAGGGTTCCTCTGCCCCCAGCCTCAGTCTCAGGTACTGAATAATAAGGATATATGTTAAATCGTCACGAAGTCTCAATTCAAAGACAACGTTTTCTTGAAAACAGAAATTCTTTCACAGTGCAAACTTTTTCTTTTTCTTTTTCCTCCTGACGCTTTCTAAAGTTTTAGTGAGAAGATGTTAGAGCTGAATGCTCTCAAGTGTTCAAGCTGCAAACTTCTCTGGTCCTAGACCTCTGCAAACTGGGGCACCACCTCTGGGCGTAGAAGAATTGCAAGGTAAACCTGGAACCTCTCCCTGTTACATCGAGTTCATTAGAAAGGTGTTCAAAGTGAAATTGGGATTTTATTTTTTTAATACTGAAATAAACTTGGAACACAAAGGATGGGTTTTAATGATAAGATTTAAGATTTCAAAGAAATGTCAAGCAGGTTGCTGAGTCAGCCTCCAACTGCACATCCTGCCCTTGGCTGTGGAGGTTAGAGAAGATGAGAACCTTGGTGGGTGGAGGGAACCCACGTTCTGACCGGCCAATGGGCATAGCTTGGGCTTGTCTTTTGTCCAAGGGACCTGAGATCTCTGATTCATCCTCTGGGTGAAAGCCCCATCCTCACTGGGCCTCCTGATTCAGGGTCCCCAGGTAGGGAGTATTCTTAAGCTTAGGGGTTCACCAACTTAGATTATAAAATGTTGCTAACATTGAGGTGTGCAAGTGTGGTCCTTAGTTCATGTCTAAGTTCTCACTGGCTAGAATGGATTTGTGAGGAAATCTAGGCCTTTTTAATTGCTTTATTTTGTTTTGTTTTGTTTTAGTTTATTTTGCTTTCCAATAATGTTTTGAGTCTCTATCAGTGGAAAACTGTCCAGTAGGACCTCAAATTAGATAGAACGGAAACTCCCTGAGGGCATAGGGTTTTTGTTTTGCTGCGGTATCCCCAGGGACCAGCGACACAATAAATATTCGTTGCGTGAATAAGAGGATGTAGATTTATGTGGTTTGAAGGTACTTGATATCTTGCTTAAAGTTAACCTGTGTGGTTGTAGCTGGGTAATGTGGTTCCTTCAGGCTTTAGAAAACAGCGTGTCTTCTCCGTTTCAGCCTCTATGGTCTCAAGTCAGCAGGCCCTGCAGACAGGAGAGAAGCTGGGGTTGAGGGACTTTCTGCTCCGTTCTGAGGTCTGTGGTCTCCAAGTAGGAGACAGACTCCCTTCTCTGTTGTAGATAGTGTTTAATGATGGTTTGTACACGATGAGTTAGAAATGGCAGTAAAATCCACGAGACAGGATTTTACTGGTGGTTATGGTCTACAACTGGTTCCTTCAGCCTGAAGTTTTCTACAAATCAATGTGCTGCCGCAGAGCTGACTCAGTAGCAGGTGGTCACTCCGAACAGCTGTGTGTCACGAAATGGTGACCGGGCAGCTTCAGAGCATTCGTGTAGAGGTGAGCCCCTGGAATGTCTGCAGGGACGCATTTCTTACGCCATCAGGACCCGTCTCCACCGCGTGCCTGACATAGCGCCCTCTGCATTCAGTAGGCGTGCAATAAAGGCCTGTTGCTGGCCTAACTTCCTCCCTCACAAAGATGTGTGACATAAGTGCAATGCACACACAGCCACACCTTCAGGGGACATCTAAGCAACCGCTTACCTCTGTGATTATTTTCACTTTTTCTTCCTTGGGATTCATTTTGGCTGCAGTGTCTGCTCCTGGACAGGGAATCAAAACAAAACAAAACAAAGAAGTCAGGCCTTTGAAAATCAGTGAAACATCTTTCTTACTACCGATGTCTATGAGGCTGACCTCCGTGTTAGAGCAGACGGTCCATTCCCAAGGAATATGTGCTTGCAGACCCAGATTGGTGGAAATGAGCCCCAGAGGAAAAGGAAGGATGCCAGACCCTTCTGGCCCCGTGGGCCTGGCAATGAGCCCAGCAATGAACCTGGTGCCACTGGGCAGCAGGTGGGAGTGAGGAAATTCTGCCCTTGGAGTCAGAGGAGTCCAGTTCATAGCCCCTCCTCTCCCCTCAAACCTCCACCTTCCCACCCCCTCCTCACTCTCTCCCCTTGACCTTGGTTCTCATTTCACTGAACAGAGAGATGGGGGGGGTGGCGGTTGGGGGGGGGGTCCATCCCCTGCCCCTCCCCCATCCGCAGAGTCAGGCTACATCTTCTGCCTCCATTTGTACCCTGCCTGCCTCTGCTCCCATCTAGGCTGGGACCTCAGCCTGTGCACTAGGCCCCAGCACATTCCTCCTCCACGACCTTGAGCTGACAATTTCCCCTTTCCCCTGGATAATCACTTCTTCCTGCTCTATTGGCCCATTTCCTTCCATGAACAAAGTGCTGTGATTGGCCCCTTCTTTAAAAGGGCTGTCTCTGGACTCCACTTCTCTTTCTAGCTAGTGTTCCATTTTTCAACCTTCTACAGGAAAGTTCCTCACACCTTCTCTTCCTGGATAGGTTTGCTGGGCCCAGCAGCCCCTGAACCTGCTCCTGTCAGGGTCCCAGTGACTCTGCGTCACCACATCGAATGATCATTCCTCAGTGCTCATCTTATTTGACTCTCAGTGGGTCAGTAATGAAAGTGACCCATCACCTGATTTTTCCTGAAACGGTTTCTTCACTTGGCTTCTGGGATATGTTCTTTCTTGGTTTATCATCTCTCCCCCCTCTCAGACTCTTAAGCTGGTCTGTCTCCATCTTCTTAATCACCACACGGTGGGGTCTGCGTTGCCCCTACCCATCCCATTGGTGGTCTTACCCCGTCGCTTGGCTTTAAATGCCATCCGTCTGCTGGTACCCCCCCCCACTTGCACTCAGGGCCTGCACACCTCCCCAGAGCTCCAGACTCAAATATCCAGGTGCTTGATGGGTACCTTCACTTGGCTGAACATGCCCCAGATGAAGCTCCTTGTCATCGCCCCCTGATCTGCTTGTCCTGCAACCTTCCTTGTTGCAATAAACAGAACTCATTTGTCTGGGGCCAGAAACCTCAGACATACGCCATATTGTGTCATTCCTGACTCCGCTCTGCCTTTCACATGACACACGACGTGCAATCCATGGAAATCCTGCCGGCTTTGCCTTCAAATTATATGGAGAATCCAACCTCCTCTATGCACCTCCACTGTTATCACCCGGTCAGGCACCATTGTCTCTCGCATGGCTTCTTGCAAGACCCTCCTAACTTCTCTGCTTCTCACCTTGCTCACCCACAGGTTGTTCTTTACACTGAAGAGAGTGAATTGTTTAAAATTCAAGCGCAGTCATGTCATTTCTGCACTCAAAATCCAATGACTTCTTTTTCCCAACAGAGTAAAATCCGAAACCCTTTCCATTGCTTACAAGGCGCTCCATGATCTGCACTTAAATCCTCTGGTCTCAGGGCCTTTGCACTTGCTGTTCCCTCTGCCGGGACCTCTCTTGCCCAAGATAACTGCAAGGCTGTTTCTTTTAATTCCTTGAAGGCCCTACAGAGACCCTTCAGAGAAGTCTTCCCAGAACACTCATAATACAATGGTAATCTGCTTCCCTCACCTTCCTGGTATTCTCTAACTATCTCATGATGATTTCTTTTTCCATAGTACTTGTCACCAGCCGACATATATACTTATTTGCTATTGTCTGCCCATCCCTGTTAGAATATAAGCTATAAGAGGGCAGGGACATTTGCTCATTGTTTACCTCCAGAGCCTAGGAGACATTCAAAAAATGTGTTTCAAATGAATGACTAAATCAGTACTTATTGGCTGTGTCTTCCATGTCCCCATTCTGGAGCCCTTTAAATCTTCATTGTCCTCTCTGGGCTGCTGAGAAGATCAAAGGAAAGAGGGCGTGGGGAGAAACACCAGGGCTGACAAGTTGTAAGCCCTTCCTAATATCCTGGAATCTGAATCTCAGCTAGGCCTTGTCATTTAAGCAGCTCATCTGAGGTGTTCAAGGTTGCAGTGACCCTGATGGGGAATTAGCATATTAAAGGGAAACAAAGCATCTGGAAATCTGTTGTCTCCTCCCCAGACCTCCTCACAGGCTACCAGAAATGGAGGAAGGAAACTGATGTCAGCAGTTCAGAAAATAAAAGGACGAGGAGGTGATCTAGAAGGAATGAGGGGCAGAGAATAAGACTGAAATGCCCAAGGACACGAAAACTCTCTAGTAAACAACCCCGGTAATTATGAGCTGGGGAAAAAAAAAAAAAAAAAGAACTGATGTATTTTAGGAAAGAAAGATTCTTCCTCAATAAGTAAAAAAAAAAAAAAAAAAAAAAAAAAAAAAAAGTCATATATGAAGTAAATAGAAGTAAGAATGAAAAATGTAACAGAGTTGATTTTTTTTCTCCTCATTCTTTCCTGATCATTACCTTTGAATGAGTTTCTAAGGAAATCAAATGACATCAAAATTTATTTTTTCATGAGCACGGTTCCTAAGAGAAGATAAATCAATACTGTTCGACTTTAATATGTAGCTTGTCATCACCAAATGCATTGAGCACTTGTTAATATATTCCTATTGGCAACATCCAAATAAGAGCCATGATTTACCGCAGACTTATTTTGTGCTATGTCTAGATGCAAGGTACCACCAGACCTTACAACAACACTTCTAGTTCAGTTCCTCGTGCCTCAATTCACCTCTGAGGGACCAAGGTTTCCTCTGAGGTTAACCTCCGGCAGGATACACGATTTGTCCAAGGTTATAGTTATTAAATGTCACATTCAGAATTTGACCCCAAGACTTGGTGATTCCACAGTCTTCCCCATGCCCCTCTACCTCTCTGTCTCGCCATTGATCCCTGTTTTGTGATCATATCAGGAACCAATCTATGCTAGTTCAGTCTTCTGGAAATATGTACAATTGAAAGCTGTGGAGTATTGCCCCAGTGAGACAGGGCTGTGGCTACTTTAGGTCAATGATTTATCTAACTTCGTGCAGAAAACCAAAGACAGTTTTCTAGGAAGGTACTGCTGAGACCTTTGTCCAAACAAATGGGCTGTCTCTGAGGGTGCTGAGTGCATCAGAGCCCTATCCAGAGGACCCTGTGACAAGTTCTACAGGATGTAGGCAAAAGGATGAAGGTGTGTCATAAGAGATGCACTGCATCTGACCTTGGGCTGCTTGAAAAAAATTAACACAATGTGAGTGTCCTATTCCAAAACAGTGCAAACACGGGTGTATAGAAATAGTGAGACCTTTGTGAAAAATTAAATGAACCTGGGTCCCAATTCCAGCTCTACTTGTCAGCTGTGTGATCTTGGGCAAATGCCTTCGCCTCTCTGAAATACATTTCTTCACCTGTAAATTTGCAAAATTCCTACCTCCAAGATTACCGTATAAGGGCTAAATGATAGACTGTATGGTAAAATGCCTAGCATGGACCAGGCTCTCGATATCGGTATGGTTTTTAAGAAAAGGTGATGCTAGAGAAGGAAAGTAGAAAAAGGGGTGGGGATGGAAAAAGAGCTTAGGGGACAGAAGGGGAATCACAAGAAAGACCTGAGGTGACATAGAAGTCCCCCATTACCATTTGTGGTTCCCACCTTCAACCTCCTGGCTCCAAAACCCCTCTTTCCCTTCCCCCAGCTGGGCCCAGGGGAGTTTCCTTTCTGTTTCCATTTGTGGTGCTTGTGAAGCCCTCCCCTGCCCTCACGCCCATGGGTATTTCCTCCCTGCGTATGGTGCTTAGCTTTTTCTGCCCTACCCTATTAGGGTTGGAGCCTGGACCCCTGGCAGGTGCCACACTCACTGCTTCTAAATTCATTATCTGAGTCTACAAAGCATTCCAGCCACAGCTTCCCTTTGTCTGAGGTTGGTGACAGATAGCTTTATGGAATCATTCAATCGGCTCGATGTAACACATGTCACCCTGGCAGAGTGCATATAAATGCCACACTTGAGCTGCACTCTGTGGTATATGCCCATTGCGTTCACGTGATGAACTAAGTGATCCCAGGCCCTTTCTGGGAGTCATCTGTTGTGTTTCAAGCACGTTCGACACTTTTATAAATATCTTACGGTACTTAGCTCCTTGTACTGCTAGCCTCCGTTTATAGAGCTGTCTTCTGCACAGACTCTGTGCTTCTGAGCTGGTCTAATGCATTTCTGCTTGCTCTGAACTTCAGCCCATTGCTTGGCACCTTGTTCATGCTCGATAAACGTGTGAGCGAATGACTCTACATGAGCTCTAAGAGACAGATTTCATTCTGGAGCCGAATTTATTTGCAGAAGAGGTTATATGAAAATCCAATAACAGGCATGCACTTCCCACGAGACCTTATTAGCTTTTCATAGCGCCTCTTTGCAATGGAGGCAAACTGTAAGTGTAAATACCAGCCCGCAGATTTTCTTGTGGTCTCTTGGAGCAGTGATCCTCATCCCTTTGTCTGTAATGGCTCTTCCTCTGCCTAATGCCCAGAAAAACGAAGCCTGAAATGAGTGGCACTTTGCCCCTCGGACCAACGTGAACTGAGACACTCAGAGACGCACCCCGGAGCAAATGTTTCTGGGAGACAGGAATGCGACAGGATGGCAGGAAAGTCCCAGGACGGAAGCCGAGCAACCCTGTGGGAGGGATTCCACCCAGCGGCCCTGAGAGCCAGACATCAGACAGCCGCTCAAATCAAAGCAGCCCAACTGACGCTCTATGATTTCAATTCCAGAAAGTAAAACGTAAATCTCAGTGGGTTCTCA